CATACCCATCTTCCTAATATATCAGTATTTCTTATTGTATACAAAATCATATTGTAGATTAGGAAAGACTGTGAGATTTGGGAGTTATACAGACTTAATTATATCTCCACCCTTTATTTAACAATAACACCTATCCCCATTTTTATTGAGAATCTGTTAAGTTCAAAGCATTTACATCTTATCCTTAACCTTCGTTGGAATGCCATAAAGCGTTGGTAAATTTCCTCATTTTGAGGATAAGGAGTGAAAAAAATTAAATAACTGATTGAAGTTTGTTGAGTACTAACGATGGAATGTGGCAGATCTGACTGATTTTATATTGTGGTGGTAAAAGCCTGAACTCTGCAATAGGATAGACCTCTGGTGCCAGCTCTCTACTAACAGCTGTGTGACTTAACAATCCTAAGTCCCAAATTCTTTATAGTAGTAAGATAATGCCCATTCATAGGGATACACTGATAATTAAATTATATATATATATATATATATATACACACACACACATATATATATGCATATGCAATAGTTACTTAATGTAAGTTCTCTTCTACATTCTAAGTATGTAGATTCTTGCAGTTAATATATTTCAAGAAATTTGTGACTTATCTCCAAATAGAAATAGAAAATCTCATTCTAATAGTGCTTAGTGTTATTTTATTCATTTATATTTAAAAGAGAATAACTACATATGTAGAATGGTAACCAATATACAAAAAAACAAACACCCCCCCAAAAAAAACAACTCATGGATTTTGAAATACCCTCTAATTCTTTTGTTTAACCCTTCCTTTATCTCCCTCCTAATCTACTTTATCACACTAAACTTCAGCCCCTAAGTAGTTTAGATTCACTAAACTACTAACTATTCACTAAACCAGGAAATAAATTCTAATAGGTAAGAATGTAATATAGAAGCAGCCTATGAATTTATAATTTATTGTTGTAAATTTATAAAATAATTTAATGAACCTACCTCTTCTTCTGTTCCTTCCTAACCTTCATTTCTCAGTTATTTTTTACTGGCTAAAACCTGTAGAAACTCATGACTGTAAGATTTCATTACTTTTAGAGAATACACTATAGTACATTTACTATAAATAATTCACACCATACTACACTTGTCAAAAGGAATGAACAGAGTATATATCATGGTACAGGAGCCTTGATTTTTATTGTTTTTGCTCACTTACTCACTAATTCTCCAACTCCAGTTCCCTGTCATTGTGAATTAGAGTGCTTCTGCTGTATACAAATATTGTATTCTGGATAATTAGATATTGGGAGAGGAGCCTCTCTAAATTACTTTAACTGGTGTCAGTACCGAAGCAAATCAGAAGTTTTTAGTCTTGTTTCTGGTTTGGGTTATTTTCTGACCCTAAACAGCCTGACATAAAGGAGTGCTTTTCTTTGTCAAAGGCAGCCTTTTCAAATCTAACTGCCAGACACACTATTGAGCTATGTGTTCAATTCTAATTGGCTGAGATCTTTTCAATTCAGCAGTTTCATCTTTAATGCAATGGATGTAAGATTATGTGTAGGTCTTTTCAATGGGTTTTCCATACTGGTGATTAGGGCAGAGGATTTAAACATAACCAAGCTGCTGGCTATTTCTTCTAGCCAATTTAAATTGATTCATACAAGTCCTTTGTACCCCAGGGAAAGGGCAGAACAAATCCAAGTGAGTGAGACAGCCATCACTACACTTTCAGAAATAATAGTAGAAAAGAAGGGGGTGGGGGTAGGGGATGACTTGGAGAGGAGAAATACTCTAAATACTGTGAAATTGGAACTTTAAGCAGTCGAGCAGAGAAATACTGAAACTTAACCAGTAGGCTTCCGAGTAGAATCAAGAGCACCAAGAAAATTATTTCGAAGACTGATTCTGATCTCTTTAGGTTAAAAGGGCTATGCAAATAGAAAGTGTTCTTCATTTCTGATTCCACAGGAACTCATAGTGGGTAAACTCTTGTTTTGAAAATATTCCAAAAGAGACTAGACAACTTTTCCAGAACTCCAAGACATCCTTGAATGTACTATATCAGAATAGCAAAAGGATAGTTAGCTAAAATTTAGTCTGGGTCTGTTAAAAAATTTGGTTTAGAACCAAAGACACATTCTGTTGAAAAAGACTCCACTGTCTTTCTCTTCAGAGTGTAGAGTAGGATGAGCTATTCTACTGAAGCATTCAGAAAAATATTCCTTTTCAACTCAAAACTGCTTGTTGAATCTCCCTTATAGTTTCTCTCTCCTGGGATAGCATATGGTACATGGTAAAGCATAATGAAACCATTCCTATATCACCTCTATTCTAATAAGAAGGATCTCTATGCAGAGTTTTACTGCTTCCTCAGCTTCATCTCCAAATTGTTCAGGAAAGTTTTTAGTGTACTATATCAGTTAATTTGGCAACTCTCTCTCCAAGGGAGAAAGGGAAGCATTTCTTTATCAATGAAAACAGAAACTGTTCATTGTTGACAGTATCAACAAGGCCATTTCAATCCTTTCCGAATACATGAAAACAGTGCAACATTTCTCCAGCAAGAGAAAATAGCAGTAATTTCATTTTGCTGGTTTGACTTGCTTTGCCCTAGAACATATGTAAAATATCCATATGTCTCCTGGGTACTAACATTCAATTTATTAAAATTCATAGTAATAATGGAATCCAACTCTGATGCCTGGCACATTAGATGAACAAATAAAGGTGACAAATATGGCATATGTTGCAGAGATCAGTGGGAAAGTCCTCTAAAGCATTTTTGCCGTGGCTTGGCAGGAAATCTTAGGAGTTTATACAATGATTCATTGTTTTGTAAGGTGTGGAATTCCACAAAAAAATAAAAGTAAAGCCAGTTTTCAACTATCACTCTCAATCAACTACAAACAAACAAAGTCAACCCCTGTGAAGAGATAGCTGCAGCAGCAATTTCTGAGCTGCCTTCCGGAAGAATAATGCTTTGTAAACAGTCTTACTCTGAAACTCACATTTCTTAAGAGATGCTGTCTGAGAATCACTTGAATAAATGTAATGCTTTGGGTAAGCAGAACTTAGTCAGGCCTCCTAAGGCTTCAGAATATTTAAGATTTTCCAGCTGGTACTTAAAATATCAAGCTACCTAGAATTATTTTTTAACACAAAGGAGAAATTCTTTGTACCTAACAAAAATGCAATAATATATCCATCAAAAGAAATGCACAGTATACATGTATATGGATGTTCATAGGACAGTATTTTTAACAGCCCTGAATTGGAAATTATCCAAATGGCCATGGATAGCAGAATGAATAAGTATATTGTGATCTAGTCACAAAACATTATCCTATGAACAATAAGAATAAACAGTCTACAACATCCTGCAATAAGGATTAATCTCATAAATTGTTGGCCAAAAGAAGCCAGACACAAAATAGTACGTACCTACCACTGCATTATATTATATAAAGTTCTCTGAAAGAAGAAAAACTATGTCAGAAGGCAGTGTACACTCCTTTGGGGAGAGATTGAAAGATAATGTAAGTGGGGCTTCTAAGGTACTGGTCATGTTCACATTCATCATTTGTGTTCAGGGTAGGTTCAGGTTGTAAAAGTTAACTGAGTTGTGCAGAACAATATGTGCAAAGGCAGATATACTTGTATTTATACAATACTCAAAAAGTAAAAACAAAAAGATAGCAGATCTATAACTGTCTTATTATTTATGATTCCATGTTTATTATTTTGTCTTTATTAAAGTAACTCCTATGTCATTTTTTCACTAGTAGCCTTCAGATCTGTGTGTTTTCCCTTTTTGTTTACATGCTTAAAATGACTCCCCATTTCCATTGACCAAAATCAATCTCCCTTTTCATTGATGGATTTTCATATCCTACTTTAACCAGATGAGATTCAGATAGGTTCAACTTAGTAGGCTAAGAAATCTTATAGCTTAGTATGGCCTTATATGTTTATATCATTAAAACAAAGAAATATATTTCTTTTCATACTTTAAGCGTCCTAAAAACGTAGTCATCAAAGTTAACATAATAAGTAAAATGTTTCATAAAAGTCTTAATTATACAGTATTCAGTCATAACTACATAATTTCAATTATAGTAATACTGTATCATCTCACCTGAGGAATCTAAACACCTTAGGAGCTTATGTGCATATGCAGAGCTCACTTATGATGTACAATATGTCTTAAATATCAATAACAAAGATGGTGTTTCACTTCTGAATGTCTCTAGTTACCTTTCCCTTGAAATAAAGAATTTGTTATCAATCATCTTTATTTCTGACCTACTACAAAATCTACCACTTATATCACTACTAAATACTATTAGGTGCTTATTTTGTGCAGCCACTGATCTAAGCAATTTGTGCATATTATCACATTTAATATTTACAATCTTGTGAAGTTGGAGTTGTTACCTACATTTTGCAATGAGAAAATGATCCTAGAAAGATTAAATAATTTACACAAGGTCAAAAAATATGACTTGATATAAACCCAGGTGTTCTCACACCAGATCCCAAGTTCTCACTGCTTTGAGTTCAAATAAGTTAATACCTAAATACAAATCGTGGCTCCCTTACATTTTTCTAGCACAGGCACTATCAACAGGGTTTACTCTGACATACTCCTGTTTTTCTTTATATTTGTTTGTGTTTTAAAATTTGAATCCACATCAAAATTCCCCTAAAAGAGAGATAAAGATCATCTCTAATTCCACTCTTCTATCATTTCCTACCACAAGTTAGCACCTAAAAATGCAGTAGCTCATTCTCTTTTTCAGTGTATCAATACTGAGAATGCCTTCAGCTTATCTGCAGTGCAGGAGTTGGTTTCTCTAATGATGGTCTATTGGTCTCTGATCCAAATCTCCAGAGACTCAAATAAAATCTACAGAAGAAATGAGCATGTACATGTCTTGAAAGCAAAGGAATTATTGATGCATTGACATAATCTATGCACACAGTTCAATGTGTCACTATAGAGATGCAATGATTAAAAATATACCCTTTTCATAAGCCCACATCAAACATGTCTGCTCATCTTTTTCACCACTAGACCTGCTGGGATCACAAGCTACTAGATTCATATCAGCTCCATTATCCAGTAAGAACTGAACCAGGCGAATGTGACCATGGTAGCAAGCAGAGTGTAATCCTGTAATAGAAAAGAATAAAAGGATGAAAGGAGAAAGGAAGAAAACTACATTTTGATTTTCAAAAGGCAGTTGTCACCACATAACAACATTGTTTTCAGAGACAGAAAGCAATGGTTGATATACCTGATAATGAATTAATTTTATTATGGAGGAAACATACAATAAGCAAAAGAAATATTCTATACTAGTCAATCTATATAGACTGTATTTTGCTCAGAATTATTTTTTAGTATTTTTACACCTACAGTATTATCAAGAATGAATGTTAGTATCTTTATAGAAGAAAAAGAATGAAGATTCTCAAGAATTATTTTCAAAGCAGGGTAGCATGGTCAGTCTCTGGTAAAGACCAGAAGAGATTACATTGACTATAGGTAACACAACCGTCAAGCTGACCAAAATGTAATGTTTTTTTTTATTATTACTATTTACCATCAATGCTAAATGGTGTCAGTTGATAACAATATCCATCCTCACTGGGGTTGACCACAGTCAGGGCTCATTCCCCCTTGGCACACCACTGTTCTAGACCACCTCAAACAAGGTATGTTCTCACCCCAGCCATACCTGTATGGCCATCTCTTCCTTGGTGATTGATATTTACAACATTCTGATCAAGAAGAAATTTAACCAGATCAATGCTCTTTCCATAGGTACAAGCACTGCAAAAGTACAAAATAAGGAAAATAGAAGACCCTTCTATGGGCTGTGTGGTGTTCCCTCCCAATGCATAGGTTGAAGCTCTAATTCCCTTAACTCCATATTCTGAATTCATTTAGGGATACTGTATTTAAAGAGTTAATATGTTAAAATGGGGTCACTAGTGTAGGTACAGATCCAATAAAACTGGTATCTTAATAAGAAGAGGAGATTATAACAGATAATGACAGTCTGAGGGATGGATATGTGAAGTCACAGTGTGAAAGTAGCTATATTCAAGTCAAGAAAAGAGGTGGAGGCTCCAGAGGAAGCCAACATTGCTGACATCTTAATTTCATACTTGTAGCCTCTTGAACCATGAGGCAATACATTTCTGTGGTTTAACCTATCTGACCTGTGTGGTATTTTGTTATGGCAGCCACAGGAAACAAATACAGCCTTGATTAACCCAGGAAAATCTAGATGCTGATGTGTAAATAAAAGTGCCAAACAGACAAAGAAGGGGGGAAGGAAGGTAAGAGGAGAGATACTAAAAAATAAGTAAGCACTATATGAAAATGGTAAATAAAAATAAGAACATACAGTGATAAAATCTTGAAGATTTTCAAATCTGCAGTGAAGTAAAGAAGTTTTGTGAAATTTATAGAACTTTTGAATCAAGTATTTCCTGTGTTATTAGTTCAACTTTAACCTAAAAATTATTCTGCATGACAATGAAATATGAAATTCAGGAGAATCCTGAGAGCTGTTGTCAAATCAGGTCATATTTTGAAATTATTCCCTAGGAAAACTGTCAAATGTTGGAAGAATTCCTTGACCAGAAGGTAAGATCTCATAGCTGTCATTTTACTATGGGAGCTTTGGTTGTGGACTCAAAGTCCAGAAATCCTCCATATACTAGCCAGAGTACTTGGGACAAATCCTTAGACTTCTTGAATTTTATAGTTTTCACACCTGTTCTACAAGATGATAGATAATACCTCCTCAATACCACATTGTTGCTGAAATTCCAAGTGAATTAAAGCTTATGGAATCACATTACAAGCTGGAAAGGATGTCCATGATCTGCTCTTTTCGTTGGGAGAAAAAATTAATATAGTTAAGGACCTAAAGGAGATATGATTTTTATAGATAAAATTTACAACCAAATTTGTTGAACTATTTAATTGAAATTCTAATTTCTACTGTTTACTGAAAAAGCTGATAGAAAAAAAAATATTTTGTGTAATGTAAATAAATTATGCCTAATAATGACTATTAGCTTTTATTCATTGACTAGTAATTTTCACAAACTTTCTTTTCCTATAATTTCCCTAATACATCTGCTTTTTGTGTTCACTAGCAAGATTCTACTTCCAAAGCCTGGACAACTATGAGGTATGTCATAGGTGACTGGAGGAAACTAATATGAAGCAGAGCCCCGTCTAATCGTGGCTAATGGAAGTGTGCAGGGACTTGGTTCTAGAAAAAGAGGTAGTTCATAGCATAGGATCTAACTATTTCCTCTTCCTGAGATGGTGTTGACCAAGTCATATTTGTTTAATAAATACCACTCATCTTTCATACATCTTCTGAACTATTGCTCCCTCTGCAAAATCTTCTCATGAACAAAGGCAGAATCATTGCTATCTCTTCTGCTCCTTTGTCATTCAGTCTTATGGCATTTGTCCTTCTGCAAAATCTTCTCATGAATAAAGGTAGAATCATTGCTGTCTCTTCTGCTCCTTTGTCATTCAGTCTTATGGCACTTGTGACATTGTATTATGGTAATAGACACACTTTTTTTTTTTTTACCAAAATCTCATGGCTCCTTTAAGGATGAAAGATATCCTGTCATTTTAATGTCCCTTCTAGCATCAACACAAGGCAGATCTTTAATAACTCTTCTTGGATAATTTAATAAATAGAAAGTAACCATCTCAGTGCAATATATCATCCCATTAACAATTTTCATTGTAAATATGATCCATAACACTACATATATAACAGTCATTGTCTGAAGTACTTTATTGTTTATTTTCAAAGTAACTATTTGCAGAAAACGATAAATTATGAATATATGCATACATGTGTGTAATTTATGTGTGTATATATGTTTGCATATATACATACATATGTATTATGTTAGTAACTTTCCGTTACTGTGATAAAACTCCTGAGAAAATAACTCTGAAGATGAAAAATTTATTTTGGATCACAGTTTCAGAGATTTCAGTCCATGTTCATGTGGCCCCATTGCTGTGGGCCTGCAGAGGCATAACATTATGGTTGGGAGCAGGTGAGAGAGCAGAGTTGCTCACCTTAAATTAGCCAGGGGGTAAAGAAAGAGAGAGAGAGAGAGAAAGGAAGTAAATGGAGACAAGATAAACTCTTCAAGGATTTACTCCACTTCCTCAAACTATTCCCTCCCTCCTAAAATCTCCACCACCTCCAAATAGCACCTCCATGTTGAAGGTTCTAGGCCTTCAACACAAGAGCCTCTGGAGGACATTCCAGATCCAAACTCTAATAGTCTATCTCCATCCCCCAAAACTCATATCCTCTCATAATGCAAAATGCACTCAATCCATACGCAAGAGTCCCCATAGTTTTAGCAGTTACAGCATTGCTCAAAGAATTATCTAAATCTTAAGGCAAATTCTTAGCTGTAATCCATATAAAAGTAAGAAATCAAATTATGTACTTTAACATATGATGACACTGGGTAAACATTCCCATTCTAAACAGAAGGGATGGATTACCAAGGAAGAATCAGACCATAGTGACAATGCAGCCCAGTAAGTCAAGTATTGTATCCTATAGATCCACATCCTGCATCTAGGGTATGTGATGGTAGGAAGTGAATTCCAAAGGTCTTAGGCATCTGCCTTACCGTTTGCAACAGACATGGTCACTCTCTTGAGCTGCCTCTGCTTGTTGTCTATATCTTTGCTCAGCAGACATTCCACATTCCTGACATCTCTAATTTCCTGGGGCTTCTATTGCAGCTTTTTCTTTACTCTTCATATATTGCTCTACCAGGGACTAACACAGGGATTCTGAACTTTCACACACTGCCTGGCTTCCAAGACTCCCTTTTGAAATCTGAGTGACTCCACAAGTCTTGCATTTTGTATACCTGCCAACCCTGCACCATTCAGATGACACCAAGGTCTGCCACCTATGCCATAGCTGTAGCAGGTACCTGAATGATTAAGCACAATAAATGTATCCTGGGGAAATAACTTTGTAGGTATCCCAGTATGAGACGGGGGCCTAGTTATACATTCTCAAAGCAAAGTCTTTGAAAGTAGTTTATAGTTTTACACCCTTCAGCCTCCAGTAGGTGGGTGGCATCAATTCCTGAGAAGCTCTCAATCTACCTTTCTTATCATACTGGTACAAAGTACTTGAGTTCTTTTTAGTAGTGCTAATCTCTTTAGCAAGAACACCTTCCTTGGCTCCATTTTTACGTCTGCTTATTTTTTTTGCCAAACTACAAACTTTAAAGTCCTTTTTCTCTGCTTTTTACTCCCAAATATTGCTGAAAATCTTGTGTAAAGCAGTTATAAATACCCATGCCATACCTTTATGCTGTGTTGCCTTGAAAAATCCTCTGCCAGATAAACTATTCCATTACTTAAGTTCAACTTCACACATGTTCTCAAGGCATGAACAAAATGTTGACAAGTTTGTTGCCAGAATGTAAAACACATGTTCTCTAGTTCCATTCCCAGTAGAATCCTCTTTCTCATCTAAAACCTCATCACTGCCCTTACTATCCACATTCCTCCTAGCATTCTGGTGTTCTGAGCTCACGTCAGAATTGTCTATTAATTTCTCCTCACAATGTTCTAAGCTTTCTTCCTCAAACATTTCTAAACTTCTCCCAGTAACCAATTCCAAACATATTGTCAGGTATAGTCAAAGCAATGACCCACTTCTCAGTATCAATTTTCTGTTGTTTATATTTTTATATAAACAATTTTAAAAAATGAGAGATTTATTTTGTCTCACTGTTTCAGTCCATAGACACTTGATCCCATCACTATGGGCCTATGGTAAGAAAGAACATTTTAGAGAGAACAATTTGGCAAAACAGAGTTTTCTCACCTAATGGAGACAAGGATGAAGGAAAAAAGCGGAAAAAAAAAGAGAAAAAGGAGGAAAAAATAGGAAGGAACCAGGGACAGATACGCCCTTTAAGGAAATGCCCCCAGTTTCCTACTTCCTCCAAACAGACTCCAACACCTACATTTTCCTTCTACCACTTTCCAATAGCACCACAAACTGGGAATCAAATTTGCAACACATGAGCCTTTGGAGGGCATTCTAGATCTAAACTATAACATGTGTGTACAAAGTACTTGATAAATACACACACACTTATGCACACATGTACACACAGTGTATGTATGTATATATGTATGCATATACATATACTTTTGAATAAGTACACATATAAAAATAATAACAGGATAACAGGGCTGGGGTGGTAGCTCAGTGATAGAATGCTTGCCTAGCACATGTGAAGCACTGGGTTTGATACTCAGCACCACATAAAAATAAATAAGTAAAATAAAGGTACTGTGTTAATCTATAACTACAAAAATAAAATAAAAAAATAACAAATATATAAGTGATTGTTATGTGCAAAGCACTGATTTGTAAAAAGAAAACTTTGTATTCATAGTACATTTCTTGTGTAAAAGGAGTTCCTTTTATAAGTCTGTGCTTACAATAAAAAGAATAAAAATATTAATCTGTTATTCCTAGTCACCACAGGCTTACACAAAATAAAACAGTTGGGTTCATACTTTTAACTCACTTCACAAATCTCATATAGACAACCTCCTGGAGGTGACAGTCACCCTCTGATTGCAGTTGGTTCCAATTCATGTGCATGGGGTAGCAAAATGATTTGAAAACTAGCCTGAGGTGTCAGCCATAACAGGCATGACCTAACATGGAAAGAGGATACCAGTGATGCGTACATATCAGTTCTGCTAATTTTCCCCTTCAGGGACAGATCCCACTGATCCATTTTGACTGAAGGTATGATCTGAAGAGTTTTTGCATCTGTTCTGTTACCAAGTGTATAGAAAACAAACAAAACATTCTGGTACTAGAATATGAAGATATGCAAAAAGCACAGGATTTTAAGTTAGACATTTTAAGTTAGACATTTACTACATTAGTTTCTAGCCATAAGAACCTTTGTCAAGTTATTTTGTTTCCTTGAGTTTCAATATTCTCCACCTTTATAAAATGGGTTAGGAGAATTAAATAAAATAATAGATATAAATCATCAGTCATATAGTCACTTCTCCATAAATGGTAGTTTTCTTAACTTCCCTTTTGGCCAATCTCTGTGATTGATTTAAAAAAAAAAAAAACATTTAATTCCATGTGCAATTTAATAGGTTGAAGTTTGATGTAGAAGCCTAAATTTAATTTTAGTTTAGTATGAACAAGAGTCACCTTATTTATATTATTTATCAGTGCAATACAAACATTATGAAAACAACAACTTAGTCCCAGGTACCAATTGAGAGGTTGCAAATTATCTAAGAAATATGTAATATGTAGTTAAATGACCTTATATTCAAGATTTATTACATTCAAATTACTATTATTATTTTTATAGCAAAATTGCAAACTTGAAAAAATGAAGGCTTTAAATTTTATAAATCTTACACTTTTGTTTTAGATGTTTTAGGGAGCTGCTTTGTCTCTGAATTATTAGCAATTTATTTTCCTCCTTCTTTGTTATGGTTTAGATAAGAGATCTCCCTCAAAAGTTCACTTGTGAGACAATGCAAAAAATTTTGGAGATGCTTTATGATAAAATTAACCTAATCAGCACATTAATCCACTTGAATGGATTAACTGCATTATAAAAGTAGGCAGGTATGGTGTGAAGGAAGAAGTAGGTCACTGGGGGAGTGCATTTGGGGTTTATATTTTGTCCCTTGTGAACAGAGTGCTCTGTCTGTCTGTCTGTCTGTCTCTCTCCTTCCTGGTTTTCATACCCTGAGCTACTTTCCTCTGCTACACCACTCTGCCATATCTGCCTCACCTCTGGCCTAGAGCTGTGGAGTTGGCTGACTATGGACTGAACCTCTGAAACCATGAGCCAAAATAATTATTTCCTTCTCCTCTATATTGTTCTCTTGAGTCTGGTCACAGTGATGAAAAAGCTGACCAACACTTTTTTTTTTTCTTTTACATCATTTCCAAACAGAGCTGATCCTTTACTGTGCTTTCCTAGAGTATACTATAGAACTCTCATGGATTCCTAGAAAATAACTAATACCACCTTAGGTATCTCAGTAGTCATCCTAACTAGGCTTTTACAGACTGACATATGGATGTCTTTAATAGGTAGACATATTTGCACATAAGGTTTAAGTAGCAAGGAAAAAAATGTCACATTTGATGCTGATGAATTCTGGTAATGAGATTCTTGTTGGAGGAGGATTATGGGCACAGCCCCTTTTGGCAGCATTCCACAGAGAAAGGAATAGAAGCAATACGCTTACAGATGTTGATATGCCTGTTGCCTTGGCAACATTAGTCCCTGTCTTTGTGGCAGCATCCAGGAACACAGCATCTGGCTGCAACCCCATATGTTATGCTGACTGCAGCATCTGCCTCCACCTTTTCTTCTGTTCATCTAGCTTGGGCTTCTCATCCTCTGCCTTACCTGTGCTATCACTTTCTGATTGCAACATCTGCCACTATTTGTTCTTGCTTTATGTATACAACTTCAGGTGCTGTCAGGTGTCAGCTAAGTTTAGTGGCTATTGCATATAAATATACTTTTACCTGTGAAAAGCTGTTTCACTGAAGATGTTTTCCTTAGTCAGTCTTTCTGTTCCCATTATTTGAATGATTTCCTTAACAACTTCAAATTTGCCATTGTAGCATGCCCTAGATTTGAAGAAAATATTTTGATAAGTAAATACATGTCTCATAGGACCTATGGAATTCTATCTAATACTCACAGGTGCAAAGGGGTGTCTCCATAGATATTAACAACATGAGGCTGAACTTCCAAATCACTTTGGAGCAGGTACTTCACTATATCGTGGTGTCCGAATCGAGAACAGAAATGGAGTGGGACGTGGTCTTCATTATCCTGAGCATTCACTGTCACCAGCAAGAAAGCAATAGATACATTATCTGGAATCCACTGTATATATCACAGCCATCATATATACTAGGCTGTGGACATTTTGTAAGTGCCTGAGAGATGCCTGGAAATTGCCAATTAATGATAATAATAGAGGAAATTAAGTGCAACCAATTTAAAAAGTTGGAATTCTATTCTATTGCCTATTATCACATTAAATAGACTTTCTTCTAGCTCCCATAAATTCTGTGGAATGCATCTAATCAAATATACCTTGCACGATAGAATGTTCAGGAAACTAATAAGCATCCAAAAGATACTTGTGGCCTTATTTCCACACATATATCCTTTTGAATTGATTTTGTTTTTCCTATATAGGATGTCAAAAATTACAGATCCTGGCCAAAGAACTAAACCCAGGTATTTTTGGTTCTGCAGATTATTGGTAGAACCTGGCAATTTGTTTGTTTACAACATTTTTTAGGAGGTCCTGATGTATATCCTCAGTTGAGAGTCTGAGAGTCTCTATACTTCAATATACAGGGCATATTATTGTGGGAAAAAAAAAAAAAAATATATATATATATATATATATATATATATATATATATATATACATATACACACAATATATATATATATATATATATATATATATTGTGTGTATATGTGTGTGTGTGTGAGTGTGTGTGTATGTGTATATATACCCACAGTTTAGAGGACACAGACCTAATTAAACATGTTAACATAGACAAGTTACTTAAAATTCATTAGTTCACTCAGTAGTGGGAATTTGCTCTTGGCTTTGCCCAACCAGCTTCATGACAGCTTTTTGTATTTGGGAAATGCCCTATACTGCAAGTACAGGCTAAGACAGTGTTCCATCACAGAATCTGAAAATGTGTTTTCCAAGATTAGGAAAGGGGGACAATATAGGGAGTTGTTGTCATTCTCAACAGTGCGCTAGTTTGGACAATTATTTATAGTCTCTTCCAATCAACATACCATATCAGGCTCTTTGGAGACAGTGAAGCTGATGACACATTAAACAGGGCCTAATCTATCCTAGCAATTCCAGCTACAGATTCAGTGTCTTGCATTGCTGGTTTTCCAAACATAAGGTTGATGTGTGTGTGTAGCACATCTGGTGATGAGTTTTCATAGGACTGATTTTGTTTTGTAGTGTGACATTGGAAGTTGCTCCTCGCTGTATTAGAAACCTTCCTACCTACCCTTTTCTGGAGAAGAGTCTGTGTGCTGCTTGACATTTTAAATATATTCCTAATATGCTTAAATTAGAGTTAGCTTCCAATGCTTGATAAAACTTGATTGATACTCTATTCCCTCAATAAGTTTTGAATGATCACATCGAGCCAGTCACTGTCCTAGGTGTTAGAGATACTGATGTTTTATTAGTAATGATGAAGTAATACACCATGGTTGCAGGATGCTTAAAGGATTAAAGGAACATGTGGTTAGAAAGCATCTAATATTATGCCTATTATATAGTAGACAGATATTCAATAAGTTATTTTGTTTCCTAATTTCCCTCTTAAATTTTTCCTACATTCTAAGACCAATACACTTAGAAATGCAGAGTCCACACACTCAAATATACTTTAAACGAATAGTCAGTAATTACAGGATTGAAATAATAAAAGCTAAACACTAAACTACCAAATTCTGGGTTTGACTTTAACTCACTCAGTACTTTAACATTAAAACAGTTGCACTAAGTACTTTATGGATATTTATTTTAATATATGATTTCTTTGTTTACTTTGTAGAACCAAAAGAATTGAAGGCCTGAATTTTTTTAAAAAAATAATGAAAATAAGAAGGTAAAGCAAGGAAGGTAACAGTAAGTTTTAAAATTTTACATCTAATTTTCGGCTATGATTGGTATAATCATCATATAACAATAAATGAACAATTATTTAGGCCTTCTTTAGTTGTATACTTTGTTGATAATCTTTCTCATTATCCTGTCCTGTATGATCTTAAGCCAAAGGAAAATATACAACAAAGTCCCTGATCTCCTGAGGTTGTTATAGAAAAATAAATTTTTGAATCTTTTTAAAATTAATAAATAGCTCAGAAAGACACATCTCCTACAGAAGAATGTTTCTCATTCTTTTAATTGTCTTCCTTTTTGTGATACTTTCATTTGTTCACATTCTTTTTGAACACAGTCAATGGCATGAGTCAATGCATGAGAATAATTTGGAGTCCAGGACCTCTGGAAGGCCATTTAAGAGTTCTTGAAGTCCAGAAAGAAAATTTTAAGGTAGAATATAGTGCAATATTCTATTAGTCCATAATTTGCCTTTAGTCATCTCAGCTCCGCCCAAAATACTTTTTCTCCTATTGAATCATTAAGACTTAAAGTAAGTTTTTTACTTGGTAAATTACATGCAATGGACCTAACATTCTCTCCATCAAAGAAGTAATGGGGAAAGCAGGGGAAATACAGGATCAAACACAGGGTTTATATGAATGTACCTGTTATTTGTGCTTCAGTCATTGTGATTGACTTAGATTTTTTCATGGACAAGTTTGCAAGGACTAAACATGTATATGTTATTATATGTAACCCTCAAGAAAATTGAACCTCTGAATGATATTATATTTACTCTAACTTAATATATTATTGAGAAGCTTAGGTAAAGGAGACTTTCAAACAAAAAAAATATGTAAATTGTCATAAGGAAAATATTTAGTGCCTATCCTCTACTCTGAAGAGAGTAAGTGCTCAGTAATATCTTTTAAAAGAAAAAAAATATGTTTGAATGGTTGGGTGGGATAAAATAATCAATAATTGATTATTGATCTTAAAGATAAAATAAAAATTTTACAATAACCCCTTAATAGCTGAAAATCACAGAATATCTTAAAATATGTGTTTTGAATAAATATTTAATAATATATTTGTATAATATCCCCCCAAAGATATATTTTTTTAAATAAAACATTCTTTTTACTGAATATATTGTAGAAATTTTTTTGTGTGTGTGAATTTCTGTAAAACTGGATTTATGTTGAAGGACTATGTTTATTAAAATAACTATAACATTTAATACTGAGATGACAAAAATTAATAAATTCCAAATTTAAAATATTCTATCTTCAACCATGTCAAAATGATAAGTTTTGAAGACTGTATTGCAGTTTTTTTTTAAAGAAGTCCAGTAATATTCTGACCTTTTCAACCTCATTTAGGAGATATTATATTTCTCTTTTTTCATTGCCCTCAGAGAAAAAGAAGCAGACCAGAGACTTAAAACATACCTGACTGAATAGGTCAGCCTTTGAACACATTAAAATGAAGAGTCTGCTTTCAGCATTACATTTTGGTCAATTTTGTAACCTGAATTTATTCTTATTTGTGACATTCTCTTACCATGGAAACATACTGTAAATACCAGATTTCAAATTGTTCTTCTTTTGGGGTCATTCATTTAATCTTCCTTTTACATCCATTTACCATAGGTAAAGTCTGTATTTAAAGTAAATCATCTTGAGGCTTAGCTACATTTTGGAATAAGTGAACTAACTGGTAATAGGTATTATACAGTGTCCATCAGCATAGTAGACCTTATGGTTTGTTTGTTTGTTTATTTATTTATTTATTTATTTTTGCAATTGGTTGAAGTGCAAAAGGGGTTTAAATATCAAATGTGTATCAAGAGGAAATAAAAATACTTGAAAGTTTGATTCATGCTGGCTCTTGATTTTTACAAAAATGATTGAGTAGGAGGCATGTAGTACTTGTGTGAGACTGAAAGAAAATGTTAAAAATTATATTGTATGATGCTGGTATGTAAGGGGAGGATGGGTGTGCTACACATTTCAATGCCTTTTAAGCAGAATAGTCCTTTGATCCTGGAGACACGCTGATCACAAATGACACTCATTTTGACACTACTGAGCTTTGGGTTGTGCAGAAGAATAAAAAGCTGAAGTTGTCATTGGTAATAAAAGGAAAAAGTGATGCAGTTTTTGACCCTTTAGAAGAGCAAGGCAGTTTCAAAAACATAATTATGTGTTCAGTGGTTCACAGAGGTGTACCTCTGCCTATTCTAAACTATCACAATGAAAGATACAGCTTAAATAAACTCCAAGTAATAGTGTTCCTAGTGTTTTGACAACACATTATCCATAGTATAGATGCCTGTGTTACTGCAGAGTAGCTTATAGAAAACAATGCAAACTATGCTTCTCGTATTTTACAAAATAGTGATGCCTGTTTCTACCATGGAAACTGGAAACTGCCCTCGCCTCTTGCCTCAGTTGTCTATAGGAGCTTTTCTGTTTTCTTTTTGAGTAGATAAAAATCATCGATTAGCTTTATTAGCTGAATATCAATCTGAATTTTGGACCAAGGAACTGGCAGTTCTACAGGTTTGACAACCATGTCCTTTCAGAAATGTGTATCATTCCTGTTGCAAAGGCCAGCAGCTCTTACAGCTGGGCTTTTAATTAGGTCTCTAGGGGGTCAATGGAAGAATGTTGGATATGCCTGAGAGAATTTAATGGCAAAATGTAACTCTCAGTGAATTTGTGTCAAAAAATAAAGTTCGTGAGGAATTTTTTTAATAACTCTACTTTTAATCAACTTTCCAAAATTCATTTTTATAATTTTGAAAATAAAAAGGCAAGAGAGATTCTATTCTAGTAATTGAATCTGAAGTCCTTCCATATATTCTAAAGCCTTTTTTCCCCAAATTGATTATATTCAAATTCTATGTCCAATAAAAATTATACTAATGTAATGTTAAATATTGGAAAGGCAATGGGGAACTATTGGAACTCTGATATATTAATGTAGGATTGAAAATAGCACAAACATTTTGGAAAACTGTCTGGAAACTTCCTAAAAATGTAAACATATGCATACTCCTTGATAAAGCAATTCTATTTCAATAAATGTACTAAAGAAAAATAAATGCATATATGTTCACAAAAGCACTTGGATGTTCTGACTGTGCAAATGTACAGGACAGTGAGTTTTCTCTGATTGTGGAGAGAGGTGGCAGAGTATGGGAGAGCAGTGTCTGAGATTGGAGCCTCTGATGACTCCTGGCTGTTACATGCAGAGTCCCTGGGAAAGTTTCTGGGCAAAGGTGCAGGATGCCTAGCTGCTGTAGTAATGCCCTTCTTGAGGAGGCTCTGTGCTAGGGTCTTATCAGCCTCAACCTTGAACTCAGACACTCAGCTCCTGGAAATATAGCAACTCTTGTTGGACACCCACAATGTTTCACCAAGTTCCACTGCTCCTGAACCTGTCTACATAATAGTAACTTTAAACAATGGACTTTCTTGAAACCTATACAAACCTCCTAACACTGCACATAGAAACTTAGTATATAACTGAGGAGTAAGCTGCATAATGTTGCAAACTCTGTAACCTGCCTAATGATACAATGAACAGTAATGTACTACTGATGCCAGTGATCTAACGTAACCTATTGATATAAATAAAGCCAGCAGCTTGGACAAGCAGCCATTTTGCCTCTGCATCTTGCCTCTGTGTGTCCTTTGACTTCTTTACCTTGGAGCAGAATGTTGTTGGTAGTTTTATTCGTAAGAGCAAAACATCAGAAATATTAACAATTGTAGCATATTCAAACAAGTTAATTTTAGCAATATAAAAAGTAAAGTATGACTTATGCAATATTATGAATAACTATTGAAATTAAGTGGGTGAGCAGAAGAAATCTGTCACAAATTATATGAATTTTAAAAACAGACAAAACTGATCTATGGCAATAGATGCCCATATATTGAGGATCTTTGGTGGTTAAGGCTATTTACTGAGATAAAATAATAAGTGAATATACCTGAGTGAAAAAATATTCTGTGTCTTGATCTGGGTGGTTTTTGCATAAATGTATACATGAGTAAATATTCCTCAGTGTTTATACTAAAAATTAAAAAATTTTATATATGTAAATTATATGTCACTTTGAGAAAACTGCAGGAAAAACAACAATTTTGCCTAGGAAAATGTCTTACTTTATCAAGCCACCTAATATGTTGAGAACTGAGCTGAAACATGTAGAGAAGGATTCTCTTGTAGGTTTAATAAGAATATTTTTTAAAATAAATTATCATTTGTGGAACAAATTATCACATGACTGGAGGATTAGTCATTTTCAAGTTTATTCTCTAATAAGAGAAGTACAAGTAAAGTAGTATATATAAAGTAAAAGACAGTAAATTTCTCCTTAATATATTATCTCACCATCTGCTTTGCTTCCATCTTCCATCAGAAGTTTTGCAATATTAAAGAATCCCTTTGCAGATGCTAGGTGGAGAGGTCTATCTCCAACTTCACCACTTACATTTACATCAGCACCAAATTTCAAAAGGAGGCGGGTTACCTAAAGGAACCATTAACTTGATATTAATGCAAAGAGTCAAGTAATAAAGGGAAGCTTTTGACCATTAAAGAACACTCTTTAAAGCTTTCTCTTAGGTTATTGTCACCAGAAAATAATAGAAAATCCTAACTCAAATAGGTTGAACAACAAGGAATTTATTATTAGATTAGTTAACAGTTAGTCCTAAACCAGAACAACTGCAGGGTTGATTAATACAACAGCTTAAGAACATTGTCAGAATTCAAGTTCTTTCTATCTGTTCTTCCATGCTCAATACCTTCACAATACCATCCTCATGGTTTCAAGAGAACTTCAGCAGCTCCATGTGTTATAAACCAAAGTCCACAGAGTAAAGCAAGAGACTCCTCTAGCTTTTGAAATATGAGATTTCCTTTTGTCAAATCTAAAACTTTCTTCCTAAAAACTTCTCAAAAACCATTTTTCCATATCTCCTTGGCTTATAGTAGGTAATTTACAACTTTCTAGACCAAAAGTTTGAGAAGGAGAAAGATTTATTGTGAGTGGCCTGGCTAATTAAAATCTACAACACATTGGCTGAGGAATAGGGACACCTTCTCTAAACACAATCTCTAGGAGAAGATTGAATACTGGAATTACACGAGTCTGTAAGCAAGGAAAAATGTGTGGCATGAAGCAGTAATAGTTGTGATGATAGTTTTGCCTAAGCAACCATGGTGCATGCTGCTGACCCTATTATACATAATGAATTTTAAATGTTGAGTGGCAATATAATAAACTAAAGAGTTATTGTCCAGAGGAAGAGAGAACTAGAATTAGAATCTTATTTATATTAGCTGAGTAACCTTGAGAAAATAAATTAATTTCAGCCTAGATGTCTTCACAGATAAAAAGGAAATGATAATAAAACTTAACTCAGGGGTCATTGTGAGGATCAAATGAGATAATATGCTTAATGTGCCTAGGACAATGACTGACAGATAATATATGTTCTGGGTTATTTTAAAAATTTTCAGTGAATTGAGACAATACTGTTTATCATCCCTGTTTCAAAGTTATTGTGAGGACCAGATAAGTTATGAAGAAACTTTGAAAAAGTTAAATTTTGGCTTTGAAAGCCTACTTTTGCCATTTCCTTTCTTTAGCATTGACTTTTGACAGTTCCATAATGTATGTCTTCATAGTACACAGTAGTACTTTCTAAAATCACCCATCATCTTCCTGAACAAGGTTTTTCAAATTCTTTTTTAGCCAGAACATTACTTGAGTCTTGATTTTCATGATGGCTCCAGGCATAGGCCACTGCTGGCCATCGTGCTGCTGGAGTCCTGGATCTGGATGTGTACAAGTAAAAGAGAAACAGCAACAGTAATCCGGGCATCTTCCCCAACTGGCTGTTACTCCATATCCAAAGGGACAAAGAAAGATGACATGATAACTTCATCTTCCTGGGGTTGTTTTAAATGATAATTTATGAGGATCCTTTGAATCACTTACATATATACTTAGGAATTCACCAAATAAATTCCTTAAACCTGACATTGCTTTCTGGAGAATTTCAAAAGTCACTTTAGTGATCCTAAAAGATAAGTTGGGATATGTGTGTGTGTGTCATTAAAAATAACAGGAAAATGCGCCTCAATTATCCTGACCACAAAAGTATCAAAACAAAAGTGAATTCGAGCTCTAGAACTATTTTTGGCTTTTCCTATTCAGCAGTCAATACATGTCATTGGTAGAAATTTCTCAAAAATATGAGACATTTGATAGAAATTCTAGGCAAAATATTAGCTGGATGGGATATGGGGAAATTATTTTCTACTGAGTGTAGTAGGTAAGATCAAGGGTTCTGGAATTAGGCTTCTATTTATTATCTATGTCAACATGAACAAATTATTTAAACTTTTAATACTTCAGTTTCTTCATTGCTAGAGTGGGGGGATGATAACAGTTCTCCCTCATAAAGTTTCTGTGAAAATTAAATAAGTTTTAAAATGTAAAGCACTCAGAAAAATACCTAGCACTCTAATAACTATTAGGAAAAGTGGTACTATCAAGGTAATATGTGAATCTTATCCTTTTGTTAGGTAATGGGCAGACAGAGACTTAATTCAGGAGACATTAGAACAGCAGAAGTTTAGTCTTCAAGAACTTTGTACTGGTAAGCAAATATTTCCATTTATGCAGACTCTGTAAATTCTGATTATGTGACTTTATAATGGACAGATTTAAACTATCTCTGAAATCGATTGTCTATTAAGCACTATTATTATATACCTAGGAAATATTGTTCTTGGTACAAAAATCTATTCGTCCACTTAAAAATAAGCAAATAAACAAATGGCAGGGAACATGGCACATTAGGCACATTTATATATTGAATGTACCATTCTCCTTGTCAGCATATTTTAGCAAATGACAACAGCCTCCATAAATTACTTATGTGCTGCCTTCATACATAGAGAAAGTGAGTCCCTTATCATAAAAGGGCCATCCACATTTTAGCATAATTTTATAAGACTGTGACTATATTTTCAGGGAAAGTAAACAAATTTAGCTCTCTACCCAATATGCATCGAGGCTCTTTATCTTTCTGCTGGTTTATGAGGTTAATCACCAAAGAAGATGGCTCTACAAGCATCATGCATTGTAAATATTCTGTCTGTGCCTGAAGCCAGAAAAAATATGGAATATTTCCATCACCTGGGTTTTTGGATCCTATATTTTCAAACCCATTTTCAGTGCCTGACTCTCCAATGCACTCCAGTGTACTCTGAACAGCACATCAACGAAATGAGCATTACCCCCCCACACCCAGCTACAGGTCAGTTTTCACATGACCAAAAGGGTCCAAGTATATGTCAGCAAGCAGAGAAAAAAAGGCATAATAAGTAGGACAGCCAGGTACATAAGAAAATTTAGTTTTCAACTTTGGGTCTTCAGGCAGTACTGTGGCATGTCCTTCAGGAAGTTAAAAGGGTATAATTCGCCATAAGGAAGTGAGTCAGGGGAGAAAAAACAAGGGAGAGTGAAAGTGGCGAATAGTTATGTTTGGTTATTCAATTATGTTTATATTTGTTTTATTTGATTCTTTTCAGTTTCTTGAGAAAATAGCTAAAGGGTAATGCTTGAAAGCAGTATATACAAATTCTGTCTTTCATGATGGATTTTAGATTAGAGCACATTGTCTTGAATTCTGACTTTCCAATTTAGGCAAATTGCCTAGATTTTATGACATTGGTCACTGATTGGAGAGAAATAACAAGGTGTGCTCTAGCAAAACAAAACAAACCTGGACTTTGGGATCAGATGCATCTGAGTACATATTTCACCTTTTCTATTTATTATCTGTATGACTCTGGCATGCAATCTGACCTGACTGAACCTCATTTATAATCATTAGTAAGAACAGGGAAAATAACAACTGATTTCAGATTGTGACCAAATTAGAAAATGATGATGATGATGATGATGATGATGATGATGATGATGTCTTTGCCCCTGGAGGCTTCCTCTTCCTTGTTTTCTTAGATTCTAGAAGCTGCCTGAATTTCTTAGATTGCAGCCCTTTTCCTGCATCACTTCGTCCTCTTATTCTATTGTCACATATCTCCTACTACTTAACTTTGATTCCCTTTCCTCTCTTACATGAACCCTTGAAAATGATTAGGCCTAGTGGATAATCCAAAATAATCTCCCTATCTCAAAATCCTTAACTAGGTCACATCCGCAAAACTCCTTTTAAGGTAAAATTCATAGAAATTAGGATTCGAGCATATTTCAGGAGATATATTTTTTTTCAACTTACAACATCCTGTGACAGTAGTAAAGGGGAAATAAAGTTTCTGTAAGACATCTTTGTTCAGATAACTGCAGGAAGAGCTTTTATGATTTGTTATGTTCCTGTTGTCATTAGTATCATCACAGTGATATATATTGAGCATTTGAGAAGAAATATAGATCTCATTATAACACCATTCCTGAGAAGTAGTCACTATTAATATCTTTTTTCCCATTTCATAGATGAAGAAATGAAGATCATAACCAATGAATGGGTCATAAGGCAAGGTAGGCACTTTTTGATTGAGGCTTACTGATTCCTGTGGCTGCACACTTACCAAAGCACCCTACTACCTCCTCTGTGACTAAGACTGTCAGTAAAAATGAATAATATGGCAGCTGTAATGTTCATATGGGTCTATAGGCTCTTCAAGAATGGAGCTCATGAGATTATGGCAAAAAAAAAAAACATTCAGCAAATATCTTAAATAGCCTATCTTTAGTGATAGGACAGTTGAACAAAAGTCTGGTACATTGGAACAGAACCCCAGTCTTTGAAAGTTTTGCAGCCAGACTTACCTGTTCATGCCTGTAGTATGCTGCAATGTGCAATGGAGTAAAAAAAACTGCATCTTGAACATTGACATTAGCACCATGTTGCAATAACACATCAGCAGCCTGGACAAGAAAGAGATCTCGATTAGGGACCTCTTTGGGGGATCTGTTACTCAAAATTTAGTTCACAAACCATGTGCATAACTGTTAATTAGGCCTCTCATCCTGAAACACAAACTTTTCTTCCATCTCCCTTCCACCAAACTTTCAATGCCTCCTTGCTTCTATCTAGAAAATAAAGACTAAGCCTCTTCATATGACACATAAGTTCCACTGAATCTGATGATATTCTTTTTTAATATATCACCCATTACACTCTTTCATAAACACAATTTTGTAGTCAAATGTATAGTTAATTGCCACTTATTTTCTACTCCTTGAGGTGCTGCTCACATTATTTTGTCAGGCAGAAATTCCCTTCTGCCCTATCTACAGATGTTTAAATCCTGGCTAAAATGTCAAAATGCCATCTCCTCCAAGATTTCCTTCCTTTCATTGACATCTGTTTGGTTGAAATGAAAGCTTTCTTCCTTGTAATTCACGTATAACTTTAATTCATGTCATTTAGAACATTTTTCACTGATATATATGTCTTATTATCCCTACTAAAGAGCAGACTCTTGAAAGACAGACTATATGTTAGATCTTTAACTTACTCTAACATTTTGCCTTAGAAATAGTAATCAAGAGACATTTGTTGAATAAATGAAAGAAAGAATAAGTCAGTGAAAAATTCCACCAGGAACCCTTGGCCAACTGTCTTCAGGGAAATCCATGAATTAGCAATTTTTTTAGAGAAGGAAAAAAAAAATATTTTTTCTTTACCTATCAGGTTCATTGACTTGGCCCTATATATTAAACTGACAAAACACAGATTAACAAGAAAAAAAACAAATAGAAGTTTATTAACAAGTACATTATCGACACAGATAAGAGCAATCAGTAATGAGTAACTCAAAGTGGTAGTTATTTATATAGCATCTTAACAAAAGTGCAGTAAATTTTGCAGAAAAATAAGACAAAGGAAAACAATCCTGAGCTAGTGGGGGTAGTAAATTGAAGGAAGGTAAATATATAGGAAAACTAGTAGAATATAAGGGTCAGTTTTTGTCATGTTGATTATGTAGCTTAGGAGCTGGGACCTAAGCTTTCTCTGGTTTAAAGGGTCTGCAGTTTTCTCTGGTGTGAGATTAACTTCTGTTCATCCTGGTAGACATGGGAGGAGAGAGAACTTTACAAATTTATGTCCTATTCTTAGGCAAACAGGAGGAGATCAGAGACTCATTTTATTCTATTTCTCAGTTTTCTCTAACAAAAATTATCCAATATGCCTCTGTGCCATACTTTAGGGTATCCTTCACAACAAATTTGTCAGTTTTTAGGTTTCTTTTCTCAAAGACCTTCTTTTCTGGACAACAGATTGGATTGCTTCCTTCAGATATGTTCATTTTCTATAAGACTTTCCTGATGTACTCTTCTTCAGTTGGTAAAATGATATACATTTGATAAAATTTTCAAGAGTCTGTTAGAAGAGAAAACAAGAGAGGGGACCTAAGCTCAAGTAACATATGTCTTATCACCTTTTCTGTTCCTCTAAGCAAATATCCGAAGTCAAATTTCCTTATTTGTATGAATCATATCCCTTCAGAGTGTGGCCATATATATTACATATTGTTCCCTTGTATTTTAAAGAGGTAGACAATGAAAATCAAAGGCATTAGGAATTTTCTCAAGGTCACAGGGAAAGTCAGTGTTACCAGAAAAGTGACTCTTCAGTTTCTTGCCTCTCATTTTGTTTGAGTACTCTGCAGTTTTAAATAGCTCCTTTATTTAGTTACTTATTTATTTTCTATTAAATAAAATTTATTGTGCATGTTTGAACTAATACTGCTATTTTATAAAAATGACAAGGAATTCTCGTGGAACATCTGAAATTGTTGGTGAGTCTAAACAGATAAACAGGTGTACAGGCTTCTATACATTCTCAGAATAGTGTTTTTGCTTATATCCAGATATTGCTAAGTAATGACAACATAATCATAAACATTTATGGAGGCAATAGTATGTGTCTGTCATTGAACTTAATTCATCAATGGTATTAGAGTGTACTCTCTTTCATATCAAAACACGTAAAGATAGATGCTCTTCTCCCAATTTAAAGGTGAAAAACTGATCTTCAGAGAGGCTATTAACATATTTGAGGTCAAAGAGCTAATAAGAGGGAGAACTAGAATTCAAGTCCACATCTGTTTTACTTCAAAATTTATTTTCATTAGACTGTGAATATGCTCTCATTAATGCTAACCTTTAAGCAAAAGAACCTTTAAGTAAAAGAACCAACTCAATCCCAGATAGGAGGAAGCCATCTGTCTATAGAGGCTCTGTAGATTCAGCTTGAAAATGACTGCCAGAGCCATTTATAACAAGTGTCTAGAATCTAAGGCTTACTATGCCCAGGAGTTCAATCTCAGAAACCTTGAAAGGAGGACACTAAGGATCAAGAAGAGAAAGCTTTTTACAATTTCTCTTATTTTAAATATAGCATAAAATAGACAGCATGAATTTTCATTGTAAAAAGGACCCTCAAATGTTAACATATAAAGCAAATTTCTTAGGCATGGTTCCATAACTTACTTTCATTCTAAAATATAACAACTCTGAAGTTTCAATAAATAGTCAAAAGTAAAAAAAATTCCCTCCTAATTTTGCACTAATGCAGTCACTCAGAAGGTCAACTTTTGGACTGAACATCCATTAATTATGAAGTGTTGGCCTTCTGAGAAACTGTCAAAATGTAAGTTTTAATGAAACCACATAGCGTCATTATTGAACTGTAGGCTTTTTATAAAAAATTGTTTTTAAAATTCAAGGAAATATTTAACCATTAAGAGCAAAGTACATTGTAATTATATGATTTTATTTATATGAGTAGAATGTACTTATTAATTTCTATGAGTTTGGAGTCATTATGGGGAGTCATTAAGAGTTCTCCCAGAACTTCTTTTTTCTTTCTTTTTCTTTTTTTTTTTTTTGGTAGTGGGGACTGAACTCAAGGGCACTTGACTACTGAGTCACATCCGCAGCTCTATTTTGTATTTTATTTAGAGACAGGGTCTCACTGAGTTGCTTAGCACCTCGCCATTACTGAGACTGCATTTGAACTCATGATCCTCCCATCTCAGCCTCCCCAGCAGCTGGGATTACAGGTATGCACCACCATGCCCAGCTGTTTCCCAAAACTCTTCATGGAAATATATTGTATTTGATGTAAAAATATACCTGTTAGATAGGTTAAGGTGATGTACTCATATAAACAGATTTAAAGAAATTCTATTAAATCATATTACCAATGCTACCCTTACTCCAGAACCTAAAATATGTTGGTAAAAGAAGTTCACACTCTTTTTACTATATGAAACCCCATGAAGTCACAGACAGAATTCATTTACTCACTGGTGTAGTAAGTATATGATAAGTATCAAATAATCTTTGAAATAAACTATGTGTATAATAAAGTGAAAAATTGGCAGATATATATTTACCACCAGGCATAAGGGAATTTAAATACAAATCATGTGATACAAACTTTAATTCAATTTGGTAAACATTTATTGAACAAATTTCAAATTAACCTTCAGCAATTCATAAGTGCTTGCTCCATGCCAGGATCTGTGAGTTGAGTTTGAAATACATTGTTTAATTAAGCTTTTTGTAGGGTTTATATTCTGTTGTTTCAAAACTTTTGAGAGAATATGTGGTCTTAATTTATTTCTCAATAAACAACAAAAGTACTATTAAAATCATAAACTAGAAGCACATTTTATCACAGAAAGAATACCTTAATATGATTAACAGTTTTAAGATATGAACTATATTATGCTTAGATATGTATAATCAACATACATATTTATATATACATATTGTATATGTATATATAAAATATTTCTAGTTCTAACAATAATCAGTTCTCAATCCATATCCAGAAAATATCTGAGTGATTTTCCTTCAATTTCCAGGTTGTAACACATTTGCACATTCTACTCCCTCTTCCTAGAGTCTTGCCTTCTCTTTTTCTGCAAGTTTTATACCTAGTCTCTAGGCCAAGCTCAGTTCCCATGTTCTTCAGGAAAACTTTCTGAAAATATTTCATTCTATGAATCCCCTCTTTCCTTGAATGTCTAAACATATTATCTTTGCAGCATAATTATCATTATTATATGAAATTTATTTTTTTAGTGTTCTAAGTTGTTTCAAAGTATAAGAAATTTTAACTCCAATTAAAAGGGTTTCTACCTGGGAGACACTGGAATTTAATCCTTCTAACTAAAACAGATCTTACTATTCAAAATCCCAGAGGCTCTAAATATAATGACTATAAAAGCAAAGACCTTCATTGTTCTTGCTGCATATTTTTCCTACAGTATGACTTTGACTCAATTTGACTTTGTCTTATTTATATCCCTCCTTTATCTTTTATCCTATAAAAGTCATTGTGCAGGAATGAAAGAGAAAAGAATGACCACATACAGAAGAACTAAATGTCCCATGATAGAGAAGGTGGAATGAGGTAAAATCTAGACAAAATAAAATGACAATCTCAATTGAAATTGCCAAAATCAAATATAGTGTCTTGTACCTAGTAAACTTTCATAAAACATCTACACTTCAAAATGAAATTTTTCTTTACTTAAGTGATATTTCACTTCCTATTACTTATTTGGAATCTTCAAATTCATGCTTGTACTATGCTTGTTTTCCTTAAGATTCATAGTCACAATTTTCTCTTCTGTAATCCTGTATCTAACCTTTATTATTGAGATACAGTGAGAGTAGAACAATAAGACTCTACTGTAACAAAACTCATTTTCATTTAATGGAAAATCTGTATTAGCCAAGCTTAAAAAACAAACAAACAAACAAACAAAAACACTGTTCTCTAAAGCCTATGTCTCATCACTTCACAATGATTCCAGTGATATTAATATGGAAGTTGGTTTTTATTTGGTATTTTCCAGTTATTTCCAGTTCTAACAATAATCAGTTCTCAATCCATATCCCTTTGA